AGTGCAGTTGTAATTTAAGCATACACATCACAAAATTATTCTCTCTGAAACTAATGAACACAATATTCTTCTTTGACTTTGGCTAAATTCCTCATCCTAAGGATGTTCTCTGCTTTGTACCTGATAGTGAGCACATGCATTTTTCAGGTACTTCCTCATGACATGGTAGATTATTAGGAAAGATGTTTGTTCCTTTTGTTTTTTCCAACCATCTAAGATCCATTTAATTAAGTTCTTTAGGACAGCAAAGCACTTAAATATATGTTGTAAACATAAGCCATTCATTTCTGACCTTGCTGTTGGGAGCATCAGGAATGATGAATGATAATGAAAAGAGTAATTAAATTCCAGCTATAACTCTTAGATTCCATTGTTTTTACAACAGTTTGCATATGACTTGGTTTCCACTCTGATGAAGAAAAAAGCTTTTTTAGACAAAAATACTGTAGGTAGACTCTTCTACTCTGAAATAAATAATTTTTTGCTGTTTAAATAGTTGTAAATATGTCATCTGCAGCTATTTAATTTAAATATAATATTTGAATAAATATACAATATTTGAATAAGTATGTATTTCAATACTTAAATGAAGTTTTGCAATTAATTAGACTTTGAAAAGTGCTGTGTTGGTGTAAATCTCTCCCATTCAGGTCAAAGGCATCCTTTCCTAAGAAAAAGTGTTAGTAAGCTGTTTTGAAGATCCGTTTACTAACTAATGTAAATGGCATGCATCATATGCTAATCTCCTAGCTGCTTTATTTATAGGTTAAAAATTAGAACAGGGAAGACTTCTCTAATATGGCCCTTAACTGCAAATTTTTTAAAAAAGATGAAATAAAAAACATGACCCAAAATATTTTAAAGCAATAGCAATCCTTTTTCGTTGAATGAAACAGTACTTTGCTCTTGTTCCTAATTCTATGCAGTCTAAACAGCAACAGGCCTGTAGTAGAGTGCTTACTATTAGCAGTCCCTTTGGCTTTTGATGAAATCGTTTAGTATGAATAACAACTCCACAGCAGTCTTGATGAAAAAAAAAACCTGCAACTTCCAGATTTAACCGCTAGAGATGATGAAATAAGCACTTGAGGAGGATTTGATTTACAAGGCCGGTGTGATTGGCACCCCTCACCCTCTGATGAATGCCACTGGCCTGTCATGACTGGTTCAATGTTGTGTTTCACATCTTGTCCTGGCCCAGCAGTACAAAGCCTGTGTGGTGGTGCCAGGGCAGGGGGCAGCAGTGGCTCCAAGCCACCAGGCATCTGCCAAATAGACTGCTGGGATGCTTCCTGTGCCACTGCTCTGCTGCCTGCTGGTGGTCTGCCATCATTGAGCCTAAGCTTACCTTCTCAGGGCAGGTGGCTATGTCTGCAAGGTGTTTTTTGTTACACAAAATAGAGTCCAAACCAAGTGCCAGCTGCTGCTCTGCCTACAGTCTTCCTTGTCCTGGATAGAGGATTTCAGTACCCTTTTAACAGACACGCACGTTTACACTAATCTGGAAAACCTGAATGTATTTCCCTGCTGGGTGGGACTAGTTTTCTCATTAGTGTTTTACGTATGTTGAAACTGTTGAAACTGTTCTTCCTGGTGAGAAATACTGTATGCTTTCCTCTCAGATGTCAAGGCTAAGCTAAACAGAAGCAGAATAGCTCCTGTTGATCCGGTAAAGCTTTAGGTCAGTCGTATTGATATTATTAGAAATGTAAAGTTCAAAATGTATGCTTTATTCTATGAAGACACGGATTGAGGAAACAGATATTAGTGTCACTAGTTCTCACTCCCATTTTCTTGATTTTAATTTTTATTATGTACGGAACAATACCTGTCACAAAACCTTCAACTGCTTTTCATATAAGGCCCAATTCTTCTTTTTCTTGAGACAATTTTCAACTTTGTTCTTCCCTGGAATAGATGGTCTAAAAAGGGGAGGAATCCATAGTGGAGGGATAAATGTTTTACTACTGTACTGTGCAGAGCACTGCAAAATGTATGTTTTTGAGTAGACTCATCTTGATGCACATTCATAGCAAACCATGCCAGAAATGAGGAAAAAAACAACCCAGCCCTTGCAGATAAAAGATACATTTCAGAGTGACCCGTGTAAATGGGATGCAAAAGTTTAACAGAACCCGTCAGGCTACAGTTTGTGAGGACGGAGAGTTTATTGGAAAGCTGACTGGAAAAAGACAAATTTATGTACATGATAGCCCTTCTTCGAGCTAGCATGTATGTAACACTTTGGATTTGGAACACATTTCCATCTTCATGTAAGAAACATCAGGAGAGCATTCTTAGGGGAGAAAAAGGTGTCTCTCTACCTGAGATTATTGCTGTTCAGAGGATATAGCTCACCAGACAGTGGGGAGTATCTCAATATCTCAGCTGATTTACAGTTTAAGTCAAGGATTCAAAGGTGAGACCTGGATCCAAGCTTTCCAGTGTTTCCAGCTACCCACTTTGGGGTAACCTCATAAAAGGGTAGCTAAGAGGATCAATGCACAAACCTCAGTGCTTGTGAGGTGTTCTCATCTTTGTCATTGCAAGGTTAATAACAACCTTTTTAGTAAGACAGTTCCAGACTCTTCTACTGCAAAATTTCTGCCTGCTAGCAGTTGTTCTTAACCAGCAGAATGGTACAGCCCCACTAAAGCTGGGCAGTCAACTCCTGCAGCTGCCCATGGTGCTAGGTTGGCCCAGTGCTCTGAGGACTCCTCATACAGCAGGAGTAGAGAGATTTTTTTAGTGTATATATAGGTAAGAGCGTGTAAGAGCCTGTAGAAGTCTTATGAGTGGCTACATCATCTGTTTTCCTTGACATATTCTGAGAGCAGTTGGAATTCAGGATACTGCTCAGCCCTGGTTCATTTTGTCCATTGAAGTGTAGGAGTTGAGATGCCCGTTATCTCTGCTTGCCCTGAGGCAGGAGATGCTGGAGCACAACTGAAAGTAGCCTGGGCTGTTCTGTGTTGTTATTGAAACAGAGCAACAGCCAGACCGTGTCAAGTGCTGAAGCCTACTTACATTGCAGATAAAGACATCCTGGTACAAATGCATTGAAGAAACCATCTGAATTGTACAGCATCTTGGTATTTCCTTCCAGGAGTACCAACTGCTTTGCTCTATAGCCTGCAAGGAAGGTGGTCCAGTCAGCATGAACTTGATCTCAGTTGTCAGCTCAAGATTGTGGATATGCTGTTTTAGATACACTCTCCCTGGCTGCACAGCAGTGCAACAGTAATTCAGAGAAGGCAAGGACGTGGTAATCCTGACAGCCTTGGGGATCACTGACAAAGTCCCAGAATGGTCAAAATGTCTCCTATTTTGTCTTTACACCACTTATACCTCAGTAATTTTTGGATTAAATCCATCAAAGCAGGAGAGTTGTAAAATGACGTGACAGTGGAGTTGGGCTCAAATGTGCGGTAACTATTCCACAGGAGAAACAATACTCTGGAATTAATTAAACTTGCTGACTTCAGTGACATTTTATAATGTATCCTTCTAATTATTCTGTATACAAAACATTATGAATTTTGAAGAGCTAGAAATTGAGTCTGGAATATCAAAATATATATAAAGAAAATGCATCAGTGGTATTTTTCTTCCCAGAAATACGTAACCTCTGTGACTAATGGTTTTATTATATTTTTAGGCTATGTTGATAGTAAGAAAAATGCTTAATGTTGGTTTTAGTACATTAATGTACAAGTGTCCAGCCAAGATTCAGCCTATATGTATTCATGCTTGATTTTGAATAGCATAAATCTAATCCAATCTAATACTATGCATAAGAGAAATTATATAAATATTGCATTGCATGTCAAAGGCCTTTCTTTTTGTTACAATAATACCTTTCTGCTGTTAGCAGAAGGAGTAGGTGTTATTAACCCCCAACAATGTCAGTATTTTCCAATATCTTATGTTTAATAAAGGAAGAGAAAAGTTTTCTGGATGCAAATCTGAATTTATGTTTCAGCTGCAGTAAATGCTCTTAATAGTGTGATTTTTCTTTATGTTATGCTGTGAAGCTTAACTCTGCTTTACAGAGTTTGAATCTCAGCTCTCTGTATAACCATTGCAGTAGAGGTTGGAGGTGAAGTAATGGTAATATGGTATTTGAAATAGAGTGGTTTTGCTAACAGACCAGTGAGCATTGCCTATTTATACAGAAATAGTGTTTAAACCTCTGCTGGGTTTACTCCATGACTTGATGAAATAGTTTCTCACTTGGGTAGGCAATGTGCCTGTCTAATCTTTAGTCTGGTTGCTGAGGAGAAGATATAACTTTCTGTACTTCTATGCTTTCACTACTTAAGAGTAGTGCTTTTGACATCGTGATCCAGTGAGATGGTGTTAAATGGTACTAAGACTTAGATTCAATAAGTTGGAAAAATAGGATGGTATAATAAACAACTGAGTTGATTGCCTTGTTGGGGACCCGTGGTGGCCTAGTGGTTAGCATGCAGGACTCTCACCTCTGCGACCCAGGTTCGAATCCCAGCTCGTCCCCCGGGCAGATGGAGCCCGTTAGCCCTGTAAGGCCATCCATCTATGAGAAGGTCACTCTAAACAAACCTACGTCCTGAGGGCCTCACTGCCATTGTCCAAGCTTGCTTGGCCCCGGCAGATGAACCTTAGGATTAAAGGGTGGGCTCAGTTCAGCGCATGCTGTGTCTCACCTAAAAAATCCATTGCGCAGGCTGGAAAGGTAAAAGACCTTTCCCCAAATCTTCGTTCGCGAAGAGTGGCCATTATATATATATATATGATTGCCTTGTAGTGTAAGAAATACTGAATATATTTCTTGTATTGTAATCATGGCTTGTCATGACCTTGCTCTGACACCATGACTCAATGACACAATCTTTTCCCCAGGAGAAGTGGATTATTAACTTCCTGTAGGCCAAACAAACAACTAGAGAAGAAATGGGGTTATTTGTGGTTGTTTATTTCATTCTCTTCCTGACACTTCTCTGCCTCCTGACTCTTCCTAGTGCCTGGAGCCCTGCAAAGAGTCCTGGGACCTGAAGAAAAACCATTGCCAAAGCTTCTGTGAGGTACGTCAGCCCAAGGGCACGCTTTCTCACTTTGTTCTAGCAATCTCTTTAATTTAAATTATTAGCTTCATGGAGCCAGCTGAAAACCATGGGATTTTTGCAGCAATCACCTTCATTCGAAAGGATACACATGTAACAATGTATCCATATTAATTTTGAATTAAAAAAAAATTATATTTTTTCTGACCAAATGATTTATCTCAACTTATACTTTTAAGACTTGGTTCAGTCACACTTACATAACATCTCTCAGAAACTGCTGTTAAATCCCTCCCATAAGATGCTATTTCTACCACTTGCCCTTCTATCTTTTCTGGGCATGCATAAGAAAGACAATCTTTGTTTAAAAGATAAAATGTCATTGCATAAAAAATCCTTGTGCAGGGTAGCTAGAACAGATGGTTTTCCTGCATGTGAAAGTCAATCTGATTTCTAAAAGAATAGTTCTCCAGGAGTAACTGGATCGTGGACTCTAAGTTCAGAAGACTGATATCAAAATGCATAATTATTCAGGAACAAATCTTCAGAAAAACTATTTTTGGATCATGTTTCAGAATAATCTGTGAATAAGCAAACATGAATCAGTTAAACTAGAAAAAAGATGGAGCTGGTTTTATTGGATTTGAAACGTGGCTCTGTTGAGTTGGTGGAAGTCAGCTGTTACAGTTTTTAAGTGTTTTTTAGTTCAGAATGGAAATATCTCAATAGAAAGTTGCTTTGTTATAACTCAATCAATATAAAGGTAAAAGTTTATTCAAGTCTATTAAAGTGAATCATTATGAATGTTTTAATCTTTTCCTATAAAAAAATAGAAATTACCTTAATTGATGTACCGATCTCACTGATACACTGATTTAACTCATCTCCTTTTACTGTGGACACTCCTTTTCTGGTATAAGAGCATGTCTTATGTTTAAATTATTTTAAGCATCATGAAGATGATTTAGAAAAGCTGTAATTTCAACTAAAAAGATTTAGATACAACAGTGTGTAAGTAGGGATTATATGTGATCTATGTAGTTACATCAGAAGACAAAGTAAAAATTTCTCATGGAAACCAAGACTTGTAAGAGTTTTTCAACCCAGATTGTTTGCTAATTCCTCATATACTAAACTCTAGGGTAATGTAATAAAGCAGTTTTAGTGGATCTAATTTATGTTGTTCTTTTATATCAGTCCTCAGTCAGACTGCATGTTTCCAGATACAAGTGAAAATATGTATAAAATTGGTTTAAAAGGAAAACATTTGTAGTACACTGTTCTATTGTAGTTAAAAACTGTGAGCATCCTTCTTTGATTAGTGTTTTGTGGTTAAAGCTAAATTTGGAACTTCAAAGGCCCATAATGAAGAGCAGCACATTTAGCAGCTAACTGAAAAATGAGCTGTGAAATAGGGTGAGGAAGAGAAGCCTTGAGGACGTATTATGCCTCAGGGAGCTATAACATTTTTAATTAAGTAGCTGCAAATTTGTGATGTTTTAGGATTTAAAATTAGCTTCACAGACACAAAAGCCCGGGACCACTTTCCTTTCTCTCAGACTCCTGTGTACTCCATAGACATTGATTGAGTTAAAGGAGGATGTTTTCCTGTGAGAGTGTTTTCAGTCTTTTTGTATTTTGTAAAAAATCTGGAAGCAATGATTTAGCTTTGTTTCTCAAGGTCCCTGCTTGGTATATTACTTCTTATCTACCAAATAAGTGTACTGCTGAATGTTAAAGGGAACCTTACTTGTGAAGAAGAGAAATAGACAGTTTATCTGACTCCTTTTTTCCCCCCCATAAATTAAGTTTCTGCTGGTTTAGCTTTTTAACTGGCTAGCCATGGGATCAGGTGCATTCCAATGGGTGGAACATCAGGAGTACCTGTCCGAGAATCACGGGGGTCAGTAGGAGACGTTAGGGACTACTTGGTTTTGCAGCCTTTAGGCTAATTAAGCCTGTAACATCCAAATGCAACCTTAAAAGCCCGATTCAGAAATTCTGGACTGCTCTGTAGGAAAAGATTGGAGAGGTAATGTAGTGGCACATTCTTGGACCACAGTGACTTTGGAGAATAAACTGACACATGGATTGTAAAACACCTGGGCCCCCATAATAGCCAAATCTTTCTCATTTTGCCAGAAATATGAGAACAGTAAAAACAAGAAAGTAAAACATTTGAATATGGAAGGAAGTTTCAGAAGTTACATGAATAGTTGGACAGAGAGTGGGTTATAACTCCTGTGTAGTCTTAGGAACCTCTAAATCAGATCTGTCAGGGTGGAAGGTTTTTGCTTATTCTAGGATAGAATGGACAGCTATAGACAACCCCAATTGCAAGGGTTGCCCATCTGCAGTTTCACCAATGACTTTGAGGGAAACACTTTAGCTGGTTCTGCACCAAACTAAACAAAGAGGAAATGTAATCTCCATGTCACACACAATATTCTCCCCAGGATTCTAGATGCTATTTTACATACAGTTTTAAGTGGACCTTGCAAACCTCTGAGTAGTACATGTTATATAATGACTATGCATTGAAGCAACTTCTAATATATCTAGGACTAGATTTCTCAAAGAAGTAGCATTTCCTTTGATCTTTAATCAATATATTTAAAGGTTATTTCAATTTGTATTTTCTGCTGATCATTTTATCAGAAATTTAGTTCCAGTCCTTGAAGAGTTATACAATTACTAATACGCTGGCAAGAGCAAAAAGATGCTGCAAAATCTTCTCTTAGCCAACTTAGTTCAAACAGTATAATGACACAAGATTTCCCTTATTTATCTAGAGTGGCATTACATCAGATATTGTGGTGAAAGTGTTACAAAATACAGAGGGAGGAATGTAGGGTAGTCCAAAAAAAAAAAAAAAAAAAAGGCAGACTGTCTGACCATTGCTTCCCCTTTGTTTTGGGTATGTATTTAATCTGTCATTGAGCAACTTTGTACCCAGCCAATGTGAGGAAAACAAGGGAAAGCTGGCAGATATAAACAACATTATTTCATTAAATATGGTGGTTTTACTTGAGAGAATTCATCACTCTGTACTTGGAATGCTTTTTTAGAAGTGGCTTAAGTGTATAAATCTTTAGGGATAGTCTTGCAAGAGCTGAAAATCTGAATATTCCTTTAGGAGATCTTGGAAAACTTACAACATTTTTTCTTTGGTGTTTTTATTTTTTTTTGTTATTCCCATTGAAAACATTATACACTTCTTTTGTTTTTCTTTTAGCCTCTTTTCCCCAAGAAGAATTATGAATGCCTAACTAGCTGTGAATTCCTTAAGTACATCCTGTCTGTGAAGCAAGGGGACTGCCCAGCACCTGAGAAGGCCAGTGGTTTTGCAGCTGCCTGTGTTGAAAGCTGTGAAGCTGATAGTGAATGTTCTGGAGTGAAGAAATGTTGTTCCAATGGATGTGGTCATACGTGCCAAGTTCCAAAGAATCTGTACAAAGGTAGAGATTATTAATATGTACTCAAACTGGGCTAATAATTTCAGGCTGTAACAAAGTCTCTTAGAAAACCAGGACTTTCATTTTCTGAGAGTTTGTAGAGTTGGGGAGAAAAAAGAGAGTTGCCTGTGGAGATGTGGCCGCACAGTGAAAGGGTGGAAAGCTGGAGAGAAATACTGCTTAAATTTCTAATTTTTTCCCCTCCTTGTGAAGGCCATGTCTGGAAATCTGTGGAATGTAAACATGGTTATTAAGCAGAACAAACTTTGCCAATTTAGGTGAAATCTCACTTAATTTGATACAGATGAGAGATAATGCAGCAGAAAAATATTTGATGATATATAGTTCAGATCCCATTAATCACAAATAACATTTATTATCTATAAGCCAAGTAGGTGGGGCTACCACACAGGAAGTGTGAAATAATCTGGTAAAAGAACAGATCAGCACAGTATATTTGGCATTGATGTTCTTAATGACCTAAGAACAAAATAATGAAAGATTATAATATCACATATATATATCAACTCATTATTTAAATCTAAGGCAATCTTATTAAAATTTTTTAATTGATTTTAGTATTGTAAAAAAAAAAGCTTTTTTTTGACATCTTTCAGTAAGAACATATAGGTTAAGAAATGATGTGCTTAGACAATTCCAGATTTTAATTTATTGTAATTAAAAAAGCCTTTATACATGGAAATATTTGAAAAATGTGCTCCTAACCAGAAAAATAGGCGTTTGTGAAAGGCATATCCTTGTTCCACACGGTTGGTATGTTTTGTTAGAAATCTATTCTCCTGCATCAGTTATAAAAAATAAATATTATTCAGTTATTAATCAGATATCATGGGCTCTCTGTGGGAGCCCAATCAGCAGAACTCTGAACTAAGCTCCAGGCTTAGATCTGAATCCATGCTTATTTCCATCTGTGGATGGAAACATGATAAAATATATGAAGAAGATGATGATTTTATTTTTAAGATCATTGTTCTAACTGAAATGCGAATGAATCTTTTTCAGTGTCTCTAGTGATGAGAATGTATGTCAGAAATAATGTGCTTTGACTTTTGAATCCTGTCTTTGAATGTACAGGGTGGGTCATCAGGAAGCGCTGTCTGATTTACCGACATAAATAGAGAAAATTTGATCTAGAAGTCATAGAGTTGAGTAAGCATAAAACTTATGAAGGTAGTACTCAAAGTATTTTGAACAGCAGGCAATACTGTGATCCACATTTCCAGTGCGGAAGGGGAATTCTCTCGTTTCCAAGATACTTTAGAGCAGGCCCTTAAAAACCATAAGGAATTAGCACACCCTAAAACATAGCACCTTTCAAAATGTAAGTTATTAAAATGGATCACTTATTTATTTCTTTTGTCTTATTGAGACAAATGACCAGAGTGACAAACAGGCATTCATGTTTTATATGTAATGATTTACATGATCAAGCTCCATGCCACAACTACAAAGCATTCCAGTAAATGTAACTGGAAAAAGTAAAAACAAAACAAAACAAACAAATGAAAGAAGTTTACATGCTTCTGGAGCTGACACAGAATATGACAGGATATGATACATTCTGTAACTGCACACTGGAAGGTTTACTACTATTCAGCCTGATCATGTAGGAGCAGAACTAACTTTCCCTATCATCTTATCACTGATCCGCAGGAGGTGCTTGCTTGTAAGAGCATATATGTCTTGCAGAGGAAGGGCAAGCTCAATACCCTACTGCCTTCTCAGCTGATGAATTCAGCTAATTAGCCTCTTCAACCTGTCTTTCTGCAACAAAAGACAAATAGACGCGGAGCAGGCTTGCTGTTCATTTCCTCCAGGGGTAAATGACCTTCCTGTCACTAAGGAAGAACAAACTGCAAGCACGACTGATATCTAGTGAATAAGTTTAGTACTTATCCTTATCATTTTGACAGCACTCACAGCTTGAAAATGAACTCAGATTGAATCTAAGAGTCTACAGAAATTCCTATAGTTTTACTGTTGATCAAGTTCTGGAGATTAGTTACAACAGCAGATATAAAATTTCCATCTGATTTGCTGGATTAACAAACTGAATTTGCCCTCTAGTACTGAGTGCTAAACCCCAATCCTAAAAGAATATTAATGTAAGTCAATCATGGCTAGGCTTCGCGAATGAAGATTTGGGAAGGGCTCTACCCACATTTGTTACAAGCACTCTGGTGGCTAATAAGGCCAATATGAGATAGACACGTCCGATTGCAAAAGGCACAGCAGAAAGACTCCTTAGGTGGTATATTCTGCAAGGCATGGTTCTTTCTGCGTTGTCTTTTCTCCTCGTCAGTGATCCTGTGTGTGTTCTTAAAGGAAGCAGCAGCATTATAGATGGTGTGTCTCCAGGCCTCCCGATTGGAGGCCAGAGTAGACCAGTTATGTTGGTCAATATGGCCAAGGCTGAGACGTTGTTTCAGGGAGTCCTTGTATCTTTTCTTCAGGGCTCCTCTCTTGCGGCAGCCAGTGGCAAGTTCACTATAAAGCAGGATCTTAGGGAGGCGGTGGTCCTTCATCCTTGAGACGTGTCCTGCCCAACGCACACTGCCACCAAAGACATATATTTCAAATGTTGTTGGATTAACATAACCAGTTCATTATCACTGTACTTTTTCATCTCTGTTGGAAGTATTGGTACTTTAGAGGGGGGCAATAAATCTGCTTAGAAATAAACCAGTTTAAAAATGCAGAAGAAAAATGAAGGAAGAGAAAGGAATAAAAAATGTGTGCCCAGGTTCACTTTGTCTGATGTGCACGTATGCATCCCCAGCTAAGGACAAGAACATGTATCTTTTTCTACACTGAGCTGGTGGCAGCTGAAAAAGTTACCTATCACCTTTTTCCTGTTTCAGAAGTAGTGGTCCCTCAGATGTGATGATGCACCTACTTCATGCTGTCTAAATCTGCCTAACTATTTTTCTCTGAAATGTGTAAGGGAGCAATCCATACAGCAGAACAAACTGCAGATCTATGTAAAAAAGGTAAACTGTGACATTTAAAGGGCTTGATGGTGCCAGATGGTCACCCACAGTTTAATGACTCTTCTCATGCTTAAAGAAAAATAGTTTTCTGTTAAAAACATAATGCACAATTTTAAAAGTGTCCATTTCTGAGTTGTTGAACAATTGTGTTTACAATGGTATTGATCCCATTTACTCTTTACTCTTTGTCCAAAAGCCTTCCATGGGAACTCTTTGAATTCTTGGAGATCAGCATCTAAGACAGGACATTTGTGATGGACCATTGTGCACTTACTTTTCATGACACAGAGATGCATGTACTGTTTGAAAGACACCTTTAGAAACATTTTTCCTGGACTCTGTTATTGCACATATACAGCAATCAGTGATTTGAATTCTTTGGTTGAGCACAGCAGACTTCAGAGGACTAATTTGTTCCAGCATGAAGAAAGAGCTGACCATTTACATAATAAAAAGCACATTGAAGAGTAATTGGATCTTCACATCTGGATATTAAATTGATGGTGCTGGTTCTACAAAAGTATTTTAAAATGCACTTGTTCTGTGCTCTCATTGTTTGTGCTGCTGCGCTCCATCTGCACACAATTACGTAACACCAGAGAGGCTGAGATACTTGCAATCAAGTGAATCCAACTGCCCCTAATGCAAAGCAGATGGAAGTTTTCTTAACATGCAAATTTTAGGATTATTGTATATAGTAATTAAAGAAGGATTTTCAAATATGGAAATCTAAATTGACATGTTCGGTGATGTTCATTATATTAGACTAAGACTGCAGGGTATTGAAGGATATCCAGGTTCTAAACTGCTGTAATAACTAGATTTATTTACAGGATTGTTTTCAGGTTGATTTTTGGTTTCTTCAAGATCTACAAGATCACATTTCATTTACTTGTAGCTACTTGTATACTTGGATTTTTTGAGAAGACCTCTTAAAATATAAAAGCAGTTTGTTTACCTGAGGAAATCTTGGTGCTCAGTCATCTGTACAGACTGAGTAGGAAATGATTTATCAAACCAATACGTATAGCTGGACTTATGTGGGCACCCATTGAAACAGCAAAATTAAATTAGGTGCGTACAATAACTTGCAAAGAAGGTTTATATGTCAACGTAGAAATCTTATTTGTGACATATCCTAAAGTGACAAAGTGCCGCACATTCAAATATATGTGTTCCTAAAGTCTGTCTAGAGAAATGTATCTGACAACAAATGGATTTGTTGATTTAATCAAAAGATGCTGAATTTGAACAGTTGTTTTTTCCTTCAAGCTACTGCAGGTGTTTTCAAAAAGGCAATATTACCAGCAGTATAAACAACAGAAATAACAATTCTTTGGTGTCACTGTGTAATGAGAAATACAGTAATATTTTAGAAAGACATCTCTGTCTCTGAAATGCAACAATTTGACAATATACATTAGATATAACATATCTATTCCAAGATGTCTTGGAATTACCTTTCATAGATCATTAGGGAAGTGGAGAGTGGAGAGTGGAGAGTGACACATCGTACAATACAGCTGCATCTGAGTCAATAAGATCATGCTGCCATGGAGAAACAAACAGCATTTTTAAGTATATCAGACTAATGTAAAATGTGTAAAATAATCACGCTTCACTAGTTTACACTATTAAGCACTTAGACACAGTCTGCAGGCAGTTTTAGGCTTGACTCTGGAGAAGGGTGTTGGCCAACTGAAGAGTCTCCAGAGAGAACTGCAAGAGTGAACAGAGGTCTAGAAACACAGAGAGGAGATGGAATGCACTGTGGTTATTAGACTGAAGAAGAAAACATTCTGAAGCATGATGATAGTGTTGCGGTACATAAGAAGCTTCTCCACAGATAAAAGGAAGAATTTATTCCCTATGATCCATGAACATCTTGGACCAGTATCAAGTTTAAGATGCAGCTGAGGAGACTAAACAAGGTAGTGAGAAAGCTTTCTTGTAGTAAGGATAGAGAAGTAGTGGAACAGATTACTATGTGATGCTGTGGAAATTTTGTCATTAGATGTGTTTAGGGATAAATTAGGTGAAAAACTGAGCAACGGGTACAGCTGATTCTGCTTGGGATCAGAGGGATCTTTCTCCAGGTTATCAAAGCTTATTTGGGAAATCTTTTCTATAAGATCAGTTTTAGCTTACAACTTTCAGATCCTTTAGTTTTTTAATGAAATAAAGAAATAATTTTGAAGATTTTTTAAAAACAAGTTTTAATGTTTGCAGAGATAGGTTAGCTATGAACATTTCTGAAATTCCATGCTTATAATTCTCCCCTTTTGCCTTCTCACTGACCAACGATCTTTCTTTTTTTAATTATTCTTTTATACAGCTTCGTCTACAAATGGCCTAATTGCATCTTGTAAATTACTCATATATTTTTGTCTGTGCATTCCTACTACAGGTGTTCCACTGAAACCCCGGAAAGAGTTAAAATTCATAGAACATCAGTCTGGAGACCTGGAAGTGAGGTGGTCTTCAAAATTCAATATTTCCATTGAGCCTGTGATTTATGTTGTTCAGAGGAGGTGGAATCAAGGAATCCATCCAAGTGAGGATGATGCTACTAACTGGCAAACTGTGGCACAGGTCAGTTCTTTGCAAGCAATATGGATCCCTGGCTTCCAGACCATGATCTAAAGGTCCTCTTCAGATCGGAGAAGAGATAGATCACTTACAGGTGGGGAGGCTTATGCTCAAAATACCCCGAGGTTTATGTTTTCAAAATAAGTTTATTTTGTGGGTTTACTCTCTATAAATAAAAATCTATAGAACTAGCCAGAGGCTTGATTTTCATGAGGCCAGTGGGTAGCACTTTTTTGCAAGCACATATTTGTGATCTGTTCAGATGAGAATTTCTAAGTCTCTGAAAGTCACAAGTCTCTTGAAAAATGTATGATTAGAGACCAAAATCCACTGGAGGAAGCACATAAGAGACAAAGTCCTTTTGCGGTCAGTGGAACTCGTTGCAGTGTCCAAGGCATGACTTGGGTCTGCCCAAGAAATACAACTGATGAAAAGGCCATTGATTTTTTTTTTAAATAAAACAGAGAGTGAAAAAAAAGACTTAAAACCTTTTTTCTTTTTAAAGTTCTTTTTTTCAGATGTGACCCCCCCCAGTTCGGCAAATTCTATGATGTCATGCTCTTATCACTCAGAGCAATCCAGACTGAAAATGTAAGATTCATGAGCAAATGTTTCTTAATGAGAAGCAGCCAACAGAGCATAAATTTTCACTTAGTTCTTTCCCAGTTTCAATCTGTTTTTTAACATGCTGACAGTCCACCTGGATGGCAGAATTCCAATCGTTTATCTTACTGCTTCACCCTCATCCCTCTTGACAAGAAAAGTAAAATGCTGATTTTGAAAGGATCTGCAAAATGTCATTATAGCTAGGAAAAAAAGGGGAGAGAATAAGTAGAACCATCCACAAAATAAAGTAAAGGATTTAAATTCTGTGACAATTTGTGCTCTTTCTCAATTCAGATTGTGTAGGAAAATCCTATATTTTAATAACATAAAGCTTGTGAGACTGAACACTCAGAAGTGAACTTCTTAGCTTCAGTATTGTGCTGCAGGGAGCTGACACTATGTTGGAGGCTTGCTCGGAAAAAGTCACCTGCAGCAGAGCCTGACATGAAACCATGCTTGTGCAAGCCCAATGGAACATGCACATCTCCAAACCTGATAAAGTCACAATGACTTATCTCTCAGCTGAGGTAGTCTTGCATTCTCCCTATCCAGCAAACAATCTCCTGCCTTGGCTACAAGGAAAATACCAGGTAGCAAAAATTATTCATATCTGAATTACTCCTCACTGTTACCATGCCATGTGTATGTGCTACAGCCAACACACTGCTGTGCTTTTTCTCATCCCAGAAACAGACCTCATGCACATTTCTGGAAGCATGCACCATACATACTCCACAGCAATGGAACATATACAAACATATATATCTACAGGAGAGAGTGTTTCAGAAACGTGTTCCCGTGCAAGAGCAATAAGAACCCTGGCAGCTGCCTTTCCTGGGGGTCTGTTAAATGTAGGCAGAAGGGGCTGAGTTAATCACTGTGGCAGGAGAAGCCTCCTCCAACTGGCATCTTTCTGACATCTTCACTGTCCCATCTGCATCAGAAGAGACAAGAATTTGATTGTGTGATGGTCCCCACTGGGGATGTCAGTTCAGAACATACTTCAGGGATGCCTGACTGGCTTTGTGGACTCTGTATACCTTATGGGACATGCAGGCTGGTCACCCTTGAGGGGTGCTAGTAATCAGAATTTCTATCGAGTAGTGTACCTCCATGGTGTTTAGACAGTAGTTTTAGACATCCCACCAGGCAATCAAATTTGTGTGGCTGCTTGCAATGCAATTTATTTTGCAATATCAGCAACAAGGATGGTTATCCAGATTGACTAAAGTGACTGTGTGCGCAGCCTCCAGGCTTTTCTTGTCTGCATAACTGAGATTTTTTTCTTGTATGATTCCTCAACATTGGGATATGAGACCTTAATTATAGGCAAAGGCTTAGAAGAGCTTAGACATTCAGCTGAGAACTCCTAGAGTATCTCAGTCCAGGGGAGATGATGCTGGCTTTTGCTTTACTCTGCAACTTAAGCTAGAGACCATGTAAAAACAAAGATCAAAAAGGCTGTGGGTGAGGATCTGAATTTCTGTATGCCTATCCCCATATGTAGTGTAATTATGCAGTTATTGTTTGCATCTTCTTATAAGAAATTTCATAATGTTTTATCAGAGTTTCTCATCCAATATTTTATTTTTATTGTCTTTTCAAGAAGAAATGGGGTTATAATTTTCAATAACTTTAATGTGTCTGCTTTTAAAAAAACTTGCTGTTTTCTATTGCTTTTACAAGAGCTAATTTGCAAGTAATTTCTCATATCTCACATAAATTTTTACTTGATATTGAAAAAATAATTTTGAAAAAGTTTATTTCCTTTGTGTTGGGTCATCAGGTCTTTTTTTTATGTTTTCTTTTTAAGGAAGAAGTCTCAGTCTATTATTTCACTATTTTATTCTCCAATTACATGAAGAAAGCAAACACATTGAAAACAATGTCAATTATTTTTCACTTCATGAAGAAGGAATTTTTTAAACTTTAGTATTGGAACACACATTCTTTGGAAAACTTGATATAATTAACCATTTGACTAATTTCCATTGGTTAATATAAAAACTGTGGGAACCAAGATGCTAATTAGGCTAGTTGGCTGGATTGTAGAGTGTCCAAAGTTTTATGCCAAGTTCCTTACACTGCTCTGGTTTAAGATTTAACCATCTGAGCAGGAACTGCTTCACTATCCTATGGAATACTGTATGTCTTGTGAACAAACTTATTGTGCTGTTTGATGCTAATACTTTCTAAAAATAGTAGTATTACTGTTTATATTGGAAATTCGGGTGTTAATCATATTAATGTAATTAATTAAGTTAATTCAAATATACCAAGTAAGTTGTTTTCAGAACGCATCTGTGTTGTGTGAATGCACGTCAAATATATGTATAAATATGGACAGACAATAATGAAGTACACTTATTAGTTTATTCTGGTTTTAAAAAAATAAGGGGCAGTATTTACTTGATAGCTTGATTGTGACAGACTTATTAGTACTTCACCTTGGAAGTGTCTAAATTCTGTGGACAACTAATCTTTTTTTTCTGAGACACCTAAAGGTCAGGTTCTGAGGATCACAAGAGGGTTCTCAGCCCTTGACAGTGAGATATCTCTGCTGGAACTAACCACTAGTCCTGGAGGTTTCTTTCTCCATCCCCCAGAAAGGGCTTGCTTTGGTAAGCATTCTTAGAATTCCCATCTTGTGTGGGATTGCATTCACATGAAATAGGGGAGATCTGCTGTCCTTTGATAGAGTAGTGGATACGGCACTGTCAGTTTGCTTTTGTATCAGAGGAAACATAAACTCAGCTTTTATGATACTCTGGATGGTATCCCTTCACTCTCTGAAATGCAAATTCTTTTGTCACTGTGTATTGTTTCCAAAGGTGTAGACCTGTAAAATCAGCAGGGTAAGACTGTATTCTCCTATTTCTATTAAATCTTTGCACTACAGAAAGGAGTCCAGGATTGATAGTGTGAAAGAAAGTGAATGAACACAGTGGAACAGTCCACTGATTACTGTAATCCTTGGATGGAGGAGAGTCCTCTTTACAAATCTTTGCCATGAAGACCTTCTTGCACTATTTCTTTTTCATATAAAAGACAGAAAAAAATGCCTTGGAATGATGACAGAAGAATCCCACCTGAATGGCCAAATTGCTATGCTACTGGGTCATATATTCTCTTTCTTGTCCCTCCCAATCCTAACTAATCCCACCTTTCCCTTTCAAGAATTTTTAACTTTCAGCCTTTCTTTCTCCAAGGAACAGTTTTGCCTATGAGTGTAGAACATGTTCTAATGCTGAATAAGATGCAACGTCCAGGATGACAGGGAATATTTTCTCCCAACCTCTTATACAAAGGTTGGGATTGAAGATAGGTCATCCATGCTCTGGGCAAGTACTTTAATCATTAGTCAGTTGTATAAGCAGCAGAGGGAGATTTCTGTAAGCATTCTGAAGAAAATAGCATACAATTCCCTTTTGAAGGATAGAATGAGGAGGCTACTTTCAAAAGAGGGCTCAGGGTTTAAACAGATAAAGGCTTCTGGGAGAGGAGAATTGTCAGTACTTCCTAAATGGAACAACTCTGGAAGTCTCAGCCAAATTCTCACCTGAAAGTCCAACAACTTTCTTTTTTCTGGCCACTGGAGGTGGCTGATTGTCCTTTGGACCTAAGATGCACTCTTGAGAAGGAGTGTCAAGATGTTATCTGTATTCTCCAGATTACATGCTGCTCTAGTTGTATCTTTATGTAATTAATGGGGATTTTCCCTTGTCTTCATTAACTTTGAGTGGTACTGAAGTTGGACATATTGACCAGTTATTATCTGAGGACTCATTCATTATTTTGTTCCAAAGGAAACATGTACTAGGATTTGAACTTGCCTTCCTTATGTTTGTCTTTTAGGTAAACAGCTAATGCATAGCCAAAATAACTAGTAATTATGATCCTGAAATGCTTTGAGTGGTGATCTTTGATGTATTTTTGGATTTTTTTTTATGATTCTAAAAAAAAATATTCTAGCCTTTTAAAAATTCAATAAAACTTTTGTTTATTTTCTCTCATATTCAGGTAGAATTTCAAGTGCGTGATGAAATTCAACCATTAGTTATTTAGTACCACTCACTATACCATTTAGTGGGCTTACATTAATATGACAGATATTGAAAAGACTCTGAATATTATGATCCCAGGTCCAAACATACTTAAGTAGTGAGAACTAACTACACAAAAGCAATTAAACAAACAAACAAACAAATTATATTTACAATTAAGGTAGTATAAGATATCTCATTAGTACTTAGTTCTTTCTTAAAATGCATTAGTTCTTTGTAAAAGTTGCTTAGAGGCACCCAAGTAGTTTGTAACGTGGGAGTTACAGATACACCTCCTGCATGCCATCGAGCTTAGCAGGATCTTTGCCAACAAAATGAATTATGAAAGTAATAGGCCCAAGGCATGTTCATAAATTAAAATAATTTTGGTGTTATGAATGGAGGGATAATTTGATTTTACAGCACTTCAAGGTTGCTGCAGAAAACTGACACAACAAAATTCTTTATTTTAGTCAGCACAATAGCTGAGCTTATGCCAATGACAAACAAATTCCTTAGCTGAGAAATTTGGGATCAAGTCTATTCAGATTATGCTTGCCTTGTAATGAAGTTCAGCAAATCTGTTTTTAAAAACCCACAGTATTGTAATTAGTTATTTACAATTGGGTATTGGTCCTGTTTTCAGTTGCAGCAGTAGCCTGAATATATCCTTGGATTTTTTTTTCTGTTAATAATGATAGTTTATATGCAGTTCACTGTCATCTTATATGCAAGTTCTTGAGTATGTGGGCCTGCATGTTGGAAAAAGATAACACATTTGAGCACTCCATAAAATAAAAATAATAGCAGAACTTGTTTCAGGTAGGCTTTTTCTTCACTAGGGAAACCCTTGATTGGATGAGATAATTCACTCTACAGGTAATATAAAAGCTGAAAAAAAAGGAAAGAAAATGAGGCAGACAATGAAAGCTTCAGGGCTGTTACCCCTGCTTACTCTAAAAAAAGACAAGTACAGCAGTCTGAATGGAGAAGGGTTCTGAGTAGCAGCAATATGTGATGGGCCCAGAGTCTGCAACACTTACCAGTCTGAGAGCAGTTAACAATGTGGTTTAGAAAGGCCCTCCTTCCTTTATGTACACACACAAACATTCGCTAAATTTTCTGTTTGTTACCAAATGAAGAGACAACAACTACAAAGAAGGATAACAACTACAAATTTTATTTGTCAGGTCTTTAAAAATACCACTGCTGGAGAGCTGAAGCAACTTTCTCAGTTTCTGGCTATCTGAGTTATGTCAACAGCTGCTGCTTTCTTCCAAGATTGTAAAGGGAGCAAAAAGCAGAAATTATGCTGTACCTTTTTTGGGAACTACTTGGCATCATTGCAAGTAACATTGAATCCCATACAGGAAGGTGTCTGCTTGACGTTGTAGAAAACAGAGCTTGTAAAAATAAATTGATGGAACTACATTTTCAATGAGCTTGCATGTTTGGTCAGTAATGGTAATTAGTAGTGATTGTATAATATATTTAGACATATACATGACATCTGGTTAAGGTTCATGTGTTATTTTGATTAAAGAGTTAAATCAAAATGCAATAAACATGATATTCTAAAGTAAATTGAAAACTGGATAATAGAGAGGTAATTGCAAAAATAAAATCCACAAGTGGATGTGTTTCTGATGTGTTTTACAAAGATGCTACATCTTCTGTATTTGGCAGTGATTCAGTGGTTACCAGGAGACTGTGGCGGTTCTGGTATTTGTACCTTAGGAAAAATATAACAGTGCAGAAGATAGCTCTTCAAAAGTTTCATGGGGAAAAAACATAGAGGAAAGCAAGGTTCAGAATAAGAAAGAGTAAAGCACCTCCTACTGAAAGGGTTCAGAGTGCATCTGTGATTGTGCCATATTTCAGCATTTAAGACTCTCCCCACAGAATTTGGCAATTGAACTCATGACACTGACATTCTCAGTGGGTGTTGCTGGAGAAAAGGTCACCTCCTATGACCTGAGAAAAATCTGCAGGGAACAGTTAAGGGCGTGAGTGTCTTTTTGACGTAAGTGTCAAAGATTGAAGAAGGCTTACATCCATTACCTGAGAGTTTTGTGTTTCCTATGAACTAGAAAAAGTGGCCTCTCACATTGCTGGGTTTCATTAGGCCATTTTGGACCCCTTATTCTCTGAGAGTTGAGAATTGGAGAAATCATTCCTGTGACCTCAGGCAATGAGTTCCCTGAAACGTCAACACCTGAACAGCTAGGCCCTAAACACTGCTGAAGGTTGCGATAACTGGAAAACTAATTTTGTGAATTTAACACTTCACTGGTTTTCTAAAAGATACTTTTTCCAGAAGAGATCTGCAATGCACTGCAAAATTGGATAGTTATATCATTTTATTCACAGCTGCAAATGCTTTGCAGTGCAGAATGATGGTCAAAGTCAGGTGACATGGTTGCATAGAGCTTGTGAACTAACTGTTGTTGCACAAGAGATGATATCCATGTCAGAACAACAAGTGTAAGTGTGACATTTTCCCCACCAGACTACGGACGAGCGGGTTTGGCTGCCGGACATCCGAGCGAGCAGGTGGTACCAGTTCCGCGTGGCAGCTGTGAACGTGCACGGGACAAGAGGCTTCACAGCACCCAGCAAGCACTTCCGATCCTCAAAAGGTTAGTTTTTGCTCACTGTGTCTGGTACTCACCTTCCTCTCACTCACACATGGAGCACAACCTGATTTGCCCACTTTTGTGGCAGAAGTTTTTTAACAGATGGGTTTTTGGGTACTTCTGCCACAGACTTTAGAAACGATGTGAGATTTGTTTGGAGTTGGCAAAGGAATTAAAGGTTAAAGATTCTTTTATCAGTAAGGGGTCTCCACGAATAAACCTCCTTTTAAACAAACATTTTCCACATGATTGATGTCAAACACTATAACCCTGACCATGAAATATGAAGGAACTGGGGTTTCAGTGTGTTATTCTGAGAGGTTTATAATATTTTTTCTTTTTTGTTAGGATGAATATGTTGCTGCCATATGTTTAGTACAGCACTGAAATATTTTGTTGCCTGTATCTAAATAATTGTAGCAGCATTGTTTTGATGGAACTCTGGACCCTCTTAAGATATTTTTCCCCTTGCTAGCACTACTTATAAGTGCTTAAGAATAAAAAAGGGTATAAATGGGAAGTAGCATGTTTCTGTTCATTAGAAAGGCATGCCTGATGGCCCACAAAGTATTGTAGAAATTTTTGTTGAGATTTCTGGTTTTGCAATGTTTTGGGTAATAAAATAACTTTGAAAATTATTTCTGTACCAGTAAATGGTACTTGAGGGATGAAGGAGATAGAAACAGTTCTCCCATCCTGTGAAGTTCCTGGCATTGTCCCTGGTGTGCCTTTGACCCACGCGAAGCAAAGTTTTCCTGGATGATTCTCAGGCATAGTATGCGGGTTACCACATACCAGACGCTATTCTGAATAGGCAGATGGTCTGGATGTGGTCACCCTCTCTTAAAGACAGTCGATAATGTGGGCATAGCCAGACCATGTTAGTTGACTTCAGCGCCAAAAAATGAGATCCAGCACTTCTCACTCTACTAATAGAGGCAGCTTCTAATAGAAACACTTGTAGTTGTTTTAGCAGTGATAGAATCTTTATGCTGGTATAACTCAGCATACTTCAAGGAATGCAATTCCTCCTCTTTCTGTAGACAGAATTGTCTTGCAGTACAGATAGCTGCCGTCTGTGGGTTCCAAGCTTTTAGCTTGCAGTTTGGCCATAGTCAGTCCTAGAAAAAAATCTTACTGGAGATGCATTTATAGAGGCATGCAAGTACTTTTGCTGGTATGGATGGTTTAATCACTTACTGAATAAGTATATGTTAGACTTAATAACTTTTTGGTGCTATATCCATATTTGTGGTTAGAAGGTTGGCTGGCATAGCTATCCCATTACTGCTGTGACCACAAACCTTTTCATGTATAAAAAAAGTATTATTTTAAGAATTTATTATACTTAAGTAACATACCATTTCAGTCACATCAAAAATACACTTCCTTTGAGCTGTGTTGAGCTTATTGTAAGGACCCTTCAGCTGCAGTACCTTTCTCTTTACTTTTCTTTATGAACAGCTCGCCAGCAGATACAGCAGTTTGTTGCTGAATCAGACACCAACTTACTTTTAAACTGAGATCGTCAGTTTTTTACTGTGTAAATATTTTCTGACTATTCTGCTTGGAACCACTATCACTTCAGTTACCTAAAGGTAACTGAATGATAACACCAATATTCTGGCTTGAATATTCAGACAGGATTTTTATTACTTTCCAAAAAATTTACCCCCTACTGAGTGTGCTAGCCATGGGAGTGTATTGCTTAATATACCTACAGTGGTAATGAATATAAGAATATCCATGGTAAGTCATTTTGAAGGTCTCTTTAGACCAGAATCTGACCCGAGCCAGAAGTGGGTTTCTGGATAACAATATAAGAGCAGAATAAACACATAGAGGTATTTCTTCAGAATAGCCTCCCAGCTGGCAGTGATTTGTGTTTCAGGAGCTTGTGGTTTTGAAACTATTACATGAATACCAGAGTCCTCTTTTTCTGTGTTCTCTGCAGCAACCTCTGAAGCACTTGCTCTTCTTGATAACTACTTGTGGCTGTCTGGTGGAGGTGGAGAGCATTTGTGACAAAGATAGTAGTCAGTCAGGGAAACAGTAGTACCTCTGCATGCTCTTACCTAATAAATTAAAATAATTGGATTTTGATAATGGCAGAAAGTATGTAGTCAGCGTTCTTCAAAAGGCCTCTATAACTCTCAAAATAACAGTTTTCAAATCTGAACTCCAGCCCTTGGCAGAGAATCATGAATTGCCAGAAAAACAGAAAGGAGTTCAGTTAACTATCAGCTTCATAGCCCAAATCATCCTAATCTGGCAGCTCATTTTACTATTTAAGGGGCTTTAGTACTGTCAGTGGTTGTTATAAAGATGCCATGTTTGCCAGATGAAATGTGTAGTCACACTAGGTGACTCACATGAAGATGCTTCTGGGTGCTGAGTGCTGGGAATGATACTGGGATGCTTTAATGGCTATCTTTTAGCCTCCAAGTCCCCAGGTAGGCAGTCATAGTGGCAACAGTTATAGTGTCACATAGACATTTAATTACTACTTTGGAGCTCAGTGGGAAGTGGCGGCCTCTGCCTGGCTGAGAGGCAAGAAACTGCTGCTCAGATGTGCTTTGTTTTTGGAGTGCCAGCATCTACTGGCCCCTGCTGAGCTCCTACAGGCACGTTTAACCTCCAGTTTGGAAAAGGAAAGTGGATTTTGGCACATCACCTTTGGAAGGTTGCTGCCTGTCTGTGCTATGTTTATGTGAAGTGTGCACAGAAATTCACATCAGTGTTTCACTTCACCCTGTTGTGCCAAGACCAAGAGAAGATTATTATCTTTGTCAGACTTAGCAGAAGTTTTCTTCGAAAAGAAACCCTTTGATCAAGAAACATGACAGCAATTCCTAAGACAGTTTCTCACACAAGATGCTGAACTTTTACCAATTGCTCATAAGTTATAATGAATAGCAAATTATTTGGGTTTGGTTTTTTCTTTAAAGGAGGACAAATATGATATTTAATCTGAATCTAGGGAGAAGTATGGCACCACAAAGTCTCTGTCACTAAATATTTTAAGCTGTTAAGAGGAACATTCAAAAACGTGCTGTAATTACTTGGAGAGAGACTTTTTGTCTGGTTACCACAATCCTGTTTTATACTATTTTGTGCTTTTTGCAAACGCAAAAACATGATCTCTAAGTAGACACAGCAAAGTAAAGTTTTGTTTTATTCAAAATAATATTAAGTCTTCTGAGGTAATTTCCATAAACTTTTCTATCACTAAATAAAGCTCCTCATTATCCAAAGTAATTTAAAATGGAATGAAATTAAAAAGACTAAATGAGGAAAACAAGAGTATTGCATCAAGCATTTCAGCCTGCCATTCTTCATACAGTTGTGTTTTGAGGTTTGATCTACTGCAGCTTTTGATGCTCTTATATTGCAAACATTTGAGGTGAAGGTTTATTAGCTTTTACACTGCCTCATGTGTTCATTTATGGCATTAATTTGTAAATAATAAATAAATAAATTTACGCAGCTGAGACTTTATGAAACATCCAAAGCTTAAGCAGAGGTTTGGGGTTTTTTTAACACTGTTTATTTATTTTTATAGAGGAAATGAAGGGTTTGCATGTGCTTGTCCAACATGACCCTTCAGAGGAATAAAGTGATGCTTTGTTTTGCCAAAACACGATTCCAAAATGACAAGAAACACAGGTTAGACTCTACCTACCTGTTTGTAGCAGAGTGGCTGGAAAATGAAGTGAATGCTGCACTTAGAAAGTAGTTTTTTTCCTAGAAGTAGAACTCTGCACATGGACTTTTACATTGATACTGTCAGCTAAAATTGATCAGAACTTTATTCTATTTTAACAGTGGTTTCCACTTCCCTTTTCAGGGTTTTTAAATTGTGTATGCTTTCCTTTTCATCTTTAACTGAGTGTCAGTGGTTTACAATAACAGCAATAAATGAAACTAACTGAATACCTGGCAGAACATTTTTGATCTCCAAAGATACAAATATACTTCTCTTCATATTTAGACTGACTCTCTCCAAGCTGTTTCCTTTCCTCTGGAAGCAGAGAGAACTGTTCCTACAATCCATACATTAATGTCCTTGGATGAAAACTACCTGTACTTTTCACCCAGTAAGCAGGCACTGGATAGCCTACCCCAACTAGTCAGAAGCTGCTTGGCACTAGTAATACAATTTTTAATTTGTTGCATTTGGTTCAGAGTTTTTAAGCTATTTTTTCCTAGCTGTTTATGATTTGTGATGAGAATGAGAACAAACTCTTAGTAACTGAGGCTACAGTTAACTACAGGGATCAACGTTAGGCATTTCTATATAATATATTATCTCACTGGTCTGTGGATAGGTACTGTGCCATTCTCAGAGAGAAAAAGAGGCCATAAGATCAACACAATGAGCCCAAATCATCCGATCCTTCTACCTCTGCTACAGGTTTCTGTCTTCATCATGAAGGCAGTTGCTAGCATACGCAGGATAGATTGTCAAGCAAAAGGACGCAGACAACATTGTTTTCACAGCACATAAGTACCATGCTGGATGTGATTTCATGCATACATTACTGAGTGTTAGAAAAACCAGAACAGACACCCACTCACAGCAATAAAATTCTTTCTGTTGCTCCTTTGAGACCAATGATTTTTTTATACTGTTGCACAGCTGGTTTATGTGTGCCATTTCCACTGGGCAAAGCCAGTCCTCCCTCTTATGCCTTGAAACTGTTTAATGGTTGGAAACTTGTCTGAAGAGCAGCTTCAGCAGATTTTTAAAGTTGGAAGGTCTAATGTTTGAAAGATAGCAATGGGAGATCTATTTTAAGTCTGAGAAAAAGCTCCATAAAAAAGGGTTTAAATTATTGTCAAACTTGCTCTCACTTTTACAGCTCAGAATGAGAATTCTGGTTGCAATGTCATTATCCCCTTCTCTGACATATATTCCAAATCATTTACTGTTTTCACTACAGTTTCCACATTGAAATCCAAAGTGGATGCATTGCAGCAGTGTATGATGTGATTCTTGTTTATAGCTTGCCCATACTGTTTTTCAAGGTTGAAAAAGTGTTTCCAGATTCTATTGATTGAAATAATTTTGGAAAATATAAACTATCACTATGTTTACAAATATGAGTGTGGGAAGACACGCATTTTGAAATGGCGATGATGTGAGGTTTTTCTTTTTTTCCTTTATTTGCAGCAAGAAATCCTCCCTTTTGGGGATTGGAGACAGAGTTTTGCTTGTGATGGCTGAGTAGCCAGCAAGACAAGAATTTAAGTCCTTTGGGTATACTCAAGCCAAATACAATCCAGACAAATGCAGTACTTACTCCAAGTGCTGGAACAGCAGCTTCAGCCTTGACCTAATGAAGCTATCATTTCTAGCAGTGAGAAGCGATTTACTTGTCAGGTTGCTGAGACCAGAATTTTTTCAGAGTTGAGGACAGCTGTCTGTGCCAAATTCTTGTATATATAGAGTGACTTCTATTTTATTTGAATTATAGTATAAAATGCAAGGGAAAAACTGCCACTAACATCACTCTTTCTGCAGACCAAAGAATTTGATTTAACACTCAGATAAATTAATGTGTATAAAATTTCATAATTTACATTTGAAAAACTGGCAGCAGTTTCCAGTAATTTAATGTTAATGTGTCTGAATTATACGTGTGGGCAGTCAGTCAAAGGGATCACAGGTATATGAAGACTAACAGTTGGCTGTTGGCTTTATAGTCAGCAGAATGTCACTTGAGCTTTATAACCAGGTTAACAAACACCTTATGTATGTAAGCTTTACGATTCAGTACCAGTTATTAGACCTTGAAGTATTTTAGCACGAGTTGTATAGTGCTTTTAATATCTACATAGACATAAGCATAACAGACCACCTTGTAGAAGCATGACTTTTCTGTTCAATAACACAGAAAAAAACCAACTAATCTCTTATCTGGTAGCTGGCTGGCATGCATTGTGGAGGAGCATGCTCTTGCACTTCACAGATTTTTTTTGTTTTTCTGGGTTCTTGTTTATTTGAGAGGTCTAGGAGGGTGTTGCGTTTTTTTACGTGTTTTCTTTGATGGTGGGGTTTTGGTTGTTCTGGGTTTTTTTCCTGTTAATAACAGAGATCAAATATCTTGCCCTGCTATTCCTTCTCACTTATCTGTTCTGCTTATGAAAATAAATCCTTTCAAATGAAGAACCGATTAATATTCTTGGGTTTTTAGCTTACAAAATGATGATTCTATCACTTGTAATAGTGATGAGTGTCACAGAAATATATAGAAATAGATGAATAAATTATATAGTGGTATTGAAATACTTAATATGGAATGGATTCTCAGCTGATATAAAATGCTCACTAAGTGGCTTAATATTTCAGGTAATACACCCAAAATTCAAGAAATATTTTACTGTTGTGTTCCTTCAATCAGACATGGGTTTTTTTCCAGATGATTTAATGCAAAACTGTAATAATTTAGATTAGTTTATTTTTGATGTCTTACATCTTTCTAGCTTATTATTTTCTCCAGCTTCCTCTACTAGTTTTAGAAAAGGTCTTATAGAAAATGTATCACTTTCAAATGTCACCCCTTTTCATGTTTGTCAACTGCAGATCTCCTTTCTGTCTTCTACTACTACAACCACCACTGTTCCTCATTGTTCAGAGGCATTTTTGTGGATGACATTTGCGAGATTTGCAAAAGAATCTTTGAAGAAAGAGGGCACTCAGGAAAATCTCTGCTATTACTGTATTATTTTGCATGTAAATTCCTTCTATGAGGACATTCTTTCTATCCTTAACTGTAATTAGCCAATGATTTTTAATACAGTGTTTACATTCTCACATAGCAAAGTGGAAACATTAATAGGTTTTCTTTCAAATATAGATCAGCATTTTGTCTGCTGACTGGACTGTTTCTAGTGAGCACAGAGGAAATGCTGCTGATAAAGTAATGTTTTAAATAAACTATGTAATTATAAAAGATACAGGATGAAATGCTAGTGCTATAGAATTCAGAAGAAATGATCTATTAGTTTCAGTACGCACATAGTTCTTCCTTACTGTTTTCTTTTTTGAGATGGAGATAGAAGCATTTGAAAAGGATGAATCTAAATTTGCTCTTAGACCTAAAAAAAATTGGTGACTAGAACTTCAAAATATTTTTAATCATAATATGATTTGTCCAGAAGAGTTATTTCATTTAACTTTTAGATTTTTTTTTAAATGAGTCTCAGTCTTCTGTAGGTGCAGAATTAGGAAAAACAAGTTTTATACTTAGAATTGTTTTTGCTTATGTCTGACTATTTGGAAAGACATTCTCTGAAACACTTTAATTCTATCCCATATGTTTTGTATACATAATACATGATGCATAGTACTTCTGGGAGATAACCTGAATAATTCACCTACAGTAATATGATCATGTTGCACTTCAGGTTATAAATGTTTTATTTCCCTAATACATTCTCGTATGTGTGTGCCATAAAACCCCCCCAAACATTTTAAATAGTGAAGATGAATGCTTAATAAAGGTTTTAGATGTATGAATCATGATTGTGTTTATATTTATGGTATGTAAATATCATTTATATTTACTTATTTTATTAAACAATAGAAGGAAATGAAAAGTTGTATCAGAGCGTAGTACAAACCGTTTAGCTAAATTTTTCTTTAATTTATCCATTCTGATATAAGTACTTTTGTATACTTTAAGATGGAGTGGTTGGTTACTTCTCAGGTGTTGTGGTTTCACCCCAACCACCAACCAAGCCCCACGCAGCCACTCACCCACTCCCCTACTGTGGAGACTGGGGAAACAGTCAGAAGGGTAAAACACTCGTGAGTTGAGATAAAGACAGTTTAATAGGGAGAGCAAAAGCTGCATGCACAAGCAAAGTGAAACAGAGAATTAAGTCAGTGCTTCCCATGGGCAGGCAGATGTTCAGCCATCTCCAGGAGAGCAGGGCCCCATCAAGCATAACAGGTACTTGGGAAGACAAACACCATCACTCCAAACGTCTCCCCCTTTCTCCTTCTTCCCCCCAGCTTTATATACTGAGCATGATGTGATATGGTCTGAAATATCCCTTTGGCCAGTTTGGGTCACCTGTCCCAGCCGTGTCTCCTCCAAGCTTCCATGCACCCCCAACTTCCTTGCCCGTGTGGCAGTATGAAAAGCAGAAAAGGGCTTGGCTCTGTGTAAGCCCTGCTCAGGACTAACAAAAACGTCTCTGTATTATCAACCCTATGTTCAGCATAAATCCTAAACATAGCCCCATACCAGCCACTGCAAAGAAAATTAACTCTACCCCAACCAAAACCAGCACAACAGGTAAGGAAATAAGTGTAAAAGCAGTGCTTCTCCAAAGCCAGAAATGGCTTATGAGTGGATTAAAAAAAAAAACACAAAGGAGAACTAAGGAATTCTTATTATTTGTAAATTATGTTTAATTTCCAGAATTGTTAGGTATGCTTTGTAACTTTTATGGCCAAAATTTAGGTTGAATTATATATGTGAGGAAACAGAGACATCCGTTACTATTTAAGTAAAGTGGCATGTGTGAGGAGTATCCATTGTTACTTAAGCAAGAGTCCTGATCAATAACAAGAATAAGCCATTATTTCACATCTGCTGATCTTTAAAAGTGAAATGCTGTCTTTATTAATTCTGAATGTGTTTTTTCATGAAGTAAATGATGGATTTCTTCAGTGACACCATTTGTCATAGGGATTATCTAACGAACTTAGTACGCCTGGAACGTTTATTTAACAGCTCATTTACCATTATAAAAAGTTGCAGGTGAAGTGCATGTCTGGTGTCCCCTGTGCACAACTCCAGTTTTATTTCTGGCAAATAAGGCTACAGGTTCCTAAAAGGTCTTAATTAACATGAATTTCCTTTATTGTGCTTGATATACTTTTAATATTTTTTTTTTGAGTCTCATCGTTTACTTCTAGTAAATTTTGGTTTTGCAGTTTCCTTATATTTTGTCATGAATTTTTAGCTACCACAGCCATTTAAAAAAAGATCAGAGTTAAAAAGTAGAATTAAAAAGTAGGATTTGTTAAACAGCAAATTGGACTTTCAGAAGCTCAGTTGCAAAATTTCCATTGATTCACATTACTTGGAACCAGGATATTATGTAGTAAGTCCACAAGAAGGACCTTATATTCAATATTGGAAAAGATTCAGTATTTGAGCCTCTGACTGTCAGGTGTCCTTTTTGACTCAATTGTCAGCACAAAGACAACTGACAACTGTTATCTCAGTTGATATTGACCAGGAATTGAACAGAGTAGTGAAATAAATCACAGGGGAAGCTAACTGCTTTTTGTCATTCTAAAAAAACCCCTATAGACTTCTATCACAGAATAATATATCATTACATCTTAATTGCATTAATTCTAGGGAAGTGTTTATGTCCCATGGTGGTAAATACCAATATTAGAATTTTGGAGAAAGATTCAACATGTCGAAACATAATTTTATCATCTGAGAATTATCTGGCAACACCAAAAAAATATTCAGTATTTCTACCATACAATTCTGTGGTGACTCTACAATGCCACTTGTAGAACTCGAGTGTTTTACACTCACTGTGTATTTAAAGTAGTAAAACCGATAGTCTAGTACATTTTGACAAAGCTTCATAATGTTTGTGAACTATCAAAAACACAGAGTAATGACAAAACTAGATGCTAACCCATAATTTTTATTTCAGTAGAGTATGAATTTCTAGAATTTATAAGAACCATATCAGTCATGGGAAATCTTTGCCTGAATTTTCCTCAATATATTTAGTGTGTTTAATCCAGCTTGTGTATGCCTGGTAAATATATAAGATGAAGATAATATTTACCTTAATGAAGGTGATCTTTATTTTAGAATCTCTTTGTTTATTTTAAATTCCAGATCCATCTGCTCCACCAGCTCCGTCTAATATCAGAATTGCCAATATCAGTGCAAGCAATGATGGGAGTGTGAATGTAATGATTACTTGGGATCTTCCAGAAGAGCCTGATATCCCAGTGCACCACTACAAAGTCTTCTGGAGCTGGACATACAGCAAATATGTAATTCCAGCGAAAAAAAAGAGAAGGAAGACTACCGATGGGGTAAGAAATAAATGAATAAATGGGACAGAAATCTGGCTTATTTCTGGCACAAAATATAGTGTAAGTATAAAATATGTGACAAATTGAATGATTTCAGCAGCTGCTAAAGTGGTGGTCTTCCTATCACCAAGGCCATAGACAATTTTGATCTCTCAATGCTATCTTGCACCGAACTCAGGGAGAGAAGTAGACTTGGACCTCAAAATGAAGTTAAATACAATAAGCTTTTTCAGGAAAGTTCAACAGAAGGTTAAGTGCTGTTAGTCCTCCAAATTCAGGCTTATTCTATTAGTGCTTCTTAAAGATGCAGTGCTTGTTTTATTTAAAAAGCCTAACTTCATCTGTAACATTGTTCTTTCACTATGCAAATAAAACTTGTGTCACTGTCTTAGAGAGTAACTGTTAAATAGTCAGCATAGGTCCAAGGGAAGAACATTCTCAAAACTCTTTAAATAAGCTGCTGTACCAAAGATCTGACATATTTCCTTTGCAGCAAAGAATGAGTTTCTTTAATGATGTATTAAGTATTGGTTTACTGGAAAGCTTTCTGTTATGATATCCTTAAGTATATTGCATATTATTTTAAAGTAATTAAAAGAAAAAGAAATCTATTACAGATAACAGATTGAACTTGATTCTCAGTGCATTGTGCACAGATGCATTATGAGAATTTTGTCCAATGTCTACGTCAACACTGTCTTTTGGCTCTGGCTGCCCACTTGAACTGTGATGAATGACAGTCAGAGGGTCATAGTTCCCTCTTTGTCCCTTGGTCACCAAACCTTTAGAAAAATAAAGTCAATGAAGGCTGCGGGATGAAATCATGCAAGTAAATTTGCACAGAAAAGAAGGTTAGTTCTTAGTTGTCCTCTAAAAAAATTATTCTGGCAAGATAGGAGTAGGGTTGGACTATGCTATGTAGAAAAATTTGTGTTCCTCAGAACAGTTTACATTGGCTTGAGACCTTCAAGACAGAGTCTTCAGCCTAAAGATACCAGGGAGCTTTCTCTCTACAAGCTGATCCTTAAATCACAAACCCCAGAGAATTTTAAAATTGATCTAGGTCCTTAATGTTGTTTTGACACTTTGCGTAGAGTACATCCTACATACAAATATATTAAAACAGATCTAATATTGAACATAATGTTAATTTGGACCAAGTTTCTGATCTTGAATATAGGGAAATACAGAAGAATCAAGCTGTATTTTTATAGAAAAGTACGGCTCTTACAATATCTTTCGTATTACTTCTAGTTTACTGTACTTTTTCTTCTGCAGCCTGTAATGAAACTGTACATCAGTGCCAATGATATTCAGACCTCCCTACAGGAGGTCTGAATACTCCAGCACACTCCATATGCTATTGCTAATCAGTGGTCATTTGAATATTATAGCAAATCTTAGGCTAAAAACAGAAAATGCAGGAAAATAAAAGAAAAGGAAAGGTGGAAAAATCTTGGTTTTCAAAGATAATTGAAGAATTTTTTTGCCCAGTTTTAATATTTAGATAGACTAATTCAAATAATTTTATACTGATTTCTATGTGAAATCATTCCAGGTAGACATTCAGTTAATTTGAATACAATATTAACACTCTTAAGAGCTATAGTCAATATGTCAGCACAAAACAAGTAAAGATAATTAATATTAAATGCTTTTGGCAATCCCTTGTTAACATTCCAAGTGTTAAATATGGGATGGTTACGTGGGTAAATAGTTGTCTTTTGTCACTCTGGATTGACTGTCAAACTTAAGAGGCACAAGGAATTCTAATAAAAACAAGGAGTAATGTCTTCCACCTGGCACATGCACTAGAAGGACATTTTTATAATTAAATCTAGACAAAATTAAACTGTAAGACTATTGAGAAGCCTGGACTATTGGGAAGCCTGGACTCTTCTTTGCAGTATTGTGTGACTTGACCTAATTTATGAGTTATTGCCTGGAGAAAGATAAACTTACTCTGTTGTTTCCCTATTAAAGACACTTCCATGACACTAGAAACTGTATTTTTTCTATTATATTTTCCATTTTATAGTGGAAAAGTGTTCTTACCAATGAGTGGGTATTTTTTTTTTTTTAATTTTTATTTTCAAGAGTTGAAACAAATAGAAAATAGTGAAGAATGTATTAAATGTTGGATGTGAGCTGTCTTCAGACTGGCTTCTATAGAAAAAGTTTTCAATTGCTTTACTAACACAGAAATTGGGGAATAAAACATTTAAATTCCTTTGGCTAAAATGATTTTGGCATAAGAAAAAACTTTTTATATGGAAGAAAACCCCTTTGTTTTGGCCTAAACAAAGGTTTGTAATTGCCAAGGAACTGCAAAAATAGCATCAAGAAGGTTAGTATTTTTAAATGACACAGAAAAACAGAGTCCAATAAAAGAGATTTTTTTAAAAAGGAAATTTTGCTCTGAAATTTATACATGAATTTTCTAATTTCAAAAAGGTAGGGTGCCTAAGATAACAGGCCTGTTTTTAATAAAGACCTGTGTTTCAGCAATACTATAACTACTTTGTATATTTATTCTATTATAGGCCCAAAATTATGTGGTCCTGGAGGGGCTCCAGCCCAACAGCAACTACAATGTAGAACTGCAGGCAGTAACACGTTGGGGTCAGATACGCCTAAAAAGTGCTAAGGTTTCTCTCCATTTTAGCACGACTCAGGACATCAGGAGTAATAGTGAGTAATCATATTCAAATACCTGAATTCTTTTTCTCTCCTTTATCTGGAATTTGAATGTTTTATATAATGATCTCTCAAATTTAATAAAATATTTTTCTTAAAGTAGGCTGTTTCATAGCACAAAGATCCTCTCTCAATCAAGTTGAGTAACCTTTTCATGTTAAATTTCTTGTCTAAAAATTGGTGTCAGTTTCTGCCTAATTCTTTGTCTTAGATCCTACTCACCTAAAATAAACAATTTCAATGAAGCATTTACATGACTATTGTGTTAGTATTCTTTAGATGTTATATAGGTATAAATACTGATGGTATTTGTCAGTGTCTGGAATAAAACCATTTCTATGTCTTTGTCTTAACTGAACAGTATTAACCTGCAATATCTTTCAAAATCCTGACTATTTTTAGTAGCCTATAATAGGCCTCCAGGTTCTTGGACCACACGAATATGTATTTACTATGAACTGAAATAAAACATTGTCTCTTCTTTTAGGAAATCAAAAACATTCCGTATCTAACAAGCAATGCATTCTCAAAATTTTGCTTACATAGGACCTGCACTCAAATTAAATCTCAAGATCTGTAGAGGTTAGGTTATGCATTGCTATAGTCTTTAAAACCTGACATGCTAAGTAATATGATTGAAAACTGTATCTGAATCTGAGAGTAAACCGTGATTCTTAGTCTTGGTTAAATGCTATTTTGTACAATTAAAATACACTACTGGGTTACTGCCACAATTGCTGATGTTTCTCTGTTTAACTAATATAGAAAAATTCTGATAATAAGATGTTAAAGAATATGATTTTAAATATTCTTCCCTGTCTCCATTTCATTTTCCATTAATTTATATTCTCTCTTTAAAGTACACTCAAAGTTTAAACTTGTGGCCATTTTTATAACAGAACTGTAATTACTTTCAACCTAACTAATCAACTGTTATTGTTGTCATATTCTGTTTGGGAGTACATAAAATACTGTAAAGTAGTTGTTAGCTATAATAGACCTTCTTGTCTAGAGTTGCTTCCCATATTAATGTACCAAGAAGAAAAAGTAAACCTAAATATCCTTCTTTCTCCCATATTAAACTTACTTTTACTACTTTTCTGGGCCATCTTAAGAGGCAGCAGAAGGTTAAGTTTTCATCTCTTCCATACACTGTCTTTTCTTCAAATCCATACCAGAATATCAGCTTGAACCTTCACAGTCTGTACATTAGTCAAGTTTGGGTTAAATCCGCAGTGAAGCCCAATGTAAGTGAATATAAGAGTTCTGCCCTTTCCTTATTGGCTCTCCTACATTGTACCTGTGCTTTTTGTCATCCCCTAGAAAAGTAATGTAGTTTACAGGACTGTGCATGATGTCAAAAACTTCTTTGAGTCGCCACATAAAGTTGTCCTTTGTTTTCTGTATGTACACAGGAGATATAACAGAAGAAAAATTACAGTGAGAACTGGGTGTTTAATTCCAGAACACTGAGCCATTAAGCTACATTAGAAACATATCTTTGGTGTTTATGGGAGGTGTTCATGTTTTGCTGAATCTTTTCCTAAGAATTTTTTGTGGGATTTGCTACTGTTTTTCCTTTCTCTCTTCCTCCCCTCCCACTCTCCCTGCAAAGTTCATTTTGCTAGAGAAGCAAGCAAAAATTTTGTTGTTTTTTTTTTCCAACCCCCTCCCAATTTCCTGCTCCCTCTGGTAAAATTTTCTGTTCTTGCTCTCAGTGCTAAAATTCAAGGTGTTTAGTTTTCAGCCCAGTCATCTTGACTGTCATGTCGCCAGATTACATCACAGCTTTGAGAAAGAGCTGGGTTTACATCAGATCACAGGAGAACACTGGTGCTGGGATTTCAGCTGAGCCAGGGGTTGGTCTGTGTCCTAATAACTGGAAGAAAATTCTAGATACCATTATACAGAACTAGCCAAAGGAACAATGGGCAAGCTGTTGAATTTCTTTCTCTCATTTTACTATGAGAATAGCTTTATAAACATTCTCATCTTGGGAACAGGGACAATTAATCAACCGACCTTTCTCATACTTTATTGCTAATCCTGACATTAGGTCAGATCATTGTAGTCTTTAAACATAGTAAATAAAGACTTTCAGTATAAAAAAAACCCTCTAAACTGAAGCTGAGTAGTTGAGATTGAACCATGTAATTTTTGGTACCGTTCCATACCTACTGTGAGAAACCCTTTCACTGGTAGTGGGAGTGCTGTATCAGCTCTCCATGGCCTCACTAATGGTCTGACTTTCTTAGTCTATATCATCCCTGGGTTTGCGTTGAGAGAGGAAGATGTTCTTTTCACTTCTCCTTCTTCAAGATGTTGTGTTTTTCAGAATCTGAAGCAGATCACATCTCAGGTATTACTTACAAATCCTCTACCAAACGGAGTTCATTTATGCTATACCTCACATGTGACTTTGGTTGTTTCATCGTTTTCTGTTCACTCCAGCAGCACCTCTTTCCTATCGTTGCCACAGCAAGATTAGAATTCCTTCCACAATTCTGCTTGGATACTCTGCCCTCTCCTTGGTTTTTTTGCTTCAGAAAACAGTCCCTCAGTATTCTCTGTGAAAGTCTGCTGTCTACTTACGTGTAATTAGTACAAACTTTCTAATGCCTGGTGCTTTATTTTGCTTTACTGGGGTGACCTTTTTGTACTAAAAGGTTGATTAATTGTTGTATTTCTTTTAAAACTAGACTAAGACTATACTGAGAATAATATTTTTATATTCGCATAAACTTCAAGTATTTGACTGTTCTGTTCAAATTATGAACATCCATTTAGTTAGTGAGCAGTATGTTCTAAGTGCAAATCAGTGCCTGCAAAAACTAAAACATGTATTTGTTTTACAGTAGAGTATTTCAGTAATAAATTTATAGACAAATCTGAACATCCTTTCTACTAAAGCTTTGAGGTAAAGGATTCAAGATTCTTTGAATCTAAACACTGATGACACACATTTTAGTGAATAGAGCACTCTGCTGAGAGGTGTATTTAGGCTTTTTTGGGCATTTTAAAAAAATGGCTAGATTGTAGCTTATGTAGAAAAGCAAATAAAAACTACTCCTAGAGGAGATGCAAATTCATCTTCTGAATCTCACTCAAGTTAGGTACAGAGCCAGTCCTGCTTGAGGTACCTTTGAGAATACTCAGAAGCAGATGGAGAAATATGAAAAAGAAAAAAAATTGCCTGATATATTATCTAGGACATGACATTCATGGCCTGTCTTTATTTGGGGACTTCCATAGCCTTTGGGAGGTAATTCCAGAAGCAACATGCCAATTTTGCTGAAGTCTCACTGTCAGATGCTCTGCTCTGTGTGGAATTAAGCTCTGGGTTTTAGGTGTCTGGTCCTATTGTCAGAATAGAGATAGTCCATAACCCACTGAAGTAATTTAGTCCTACAGACCTCTGTGAGCTTTGACCCCAGCCCTCTGGCATTATATTTCCCCACACTCAGAAATATGTTGCCTCACTATATTTGTATGCTTCACTTCTGGGAAATGCAGCAAGACTCTTGATCTTTATATAGAAATATTCTAAATTGGTGTCCTGGTTTTTCTGGAAGTGGAGCAGACAGAGAATAGCAAAGCAGAGATGTAATAAAATTAAAATACTTTAAGTTGAGGAATACTTAATAGATTTTAGTTTGTACTTCTCTCTATTACTTTTTGATTTCCATTTAGGCAGCAGAAACTTTATGGTTACCTTGAGAAAGAATTTCCTTAAGTTTGGTAGTTTTACTTTAATGTAAAACAAAGAAAGAAAATGACAAATCTTACCAGATTCAGGAAAGGGCTGAGAAAGTAAAATTTGGCCATAAAGCAAGTGAGTTTCAGCTGAAGCTACATGTAAGGCAAAATGGTCAATTTTATGTTACTTGTGAGGCAAAATGTTCCAGTTTATTTGTTATTTGTGACAATTATTGAAATCTGAGTCTTTCCCTCTTTCTCTCAAGTATGTAATTAATAATTTGCCACTTCCTAATTATTGGACTCTCGTTTTCCTTTAGGTGTACTATTGAATTATACAGCTTTTTTTTGTTCATAATCTGATCCTCTTAATTGGATTGGATATATTTGCAAGTGTGCAATGCAAATTGCATTTTAAATCAACATTGCTGCCTTTTCAACTGAAAATATCTAGAAATACTGTCGACTCTGATAAATGTTCATAAATTGTTGCCAAACAAAAGGCATCCCATTACCATTGCTTGTTGGAAGCTAGGCACGTATAACCAAGGGAATTACTGAAAGAAAATTCTGATCTTACGGTGTTTCCCTAAGCATTCACCATTCACTGTTGGAAACAGAAAAGTGGGCAAGAAAGATCTTTAATCTGACCACAATGTTCTTATATAGCATACCAAAAGACTATATTTACTTTTATGTAATAACCACATGTGGCACTCTGTGGGTTACACTCAATGCAGTCCTTGGTTTTTGTGCATGTTCAAACACTGCACAAATATAAAGTCTGAATGATTATACAGAACTACTGCTAGATACTGTGTCTGTTTAAAAAGTCAGTCTGTTAACATTTCTTGTTCTTGGGGATATAAATACAGTCCCTTTCTTTATGATTCTTTAGAAAATTTACAGAGCATTTTCATATAATAATATATTTATCTTTTTCTGTCCCCGTCTAAAATATTTTCTTTGACTGAATTTCAAACAAGTGATAGTCTTTTGAACTATTATGGACAGTTTGTTCCTTATATTAATTTCATTCAGGTAAGATACTGAAATAAGATAATTTGGATGAAAGATAGTATTATTTTCTGAATTTCAGCACAGTTAACATAGTCATTTTACAGCACTGTACTAACTAAATAGTTTCCTGATTGTTCTGTGTGTTGCAGAGGAACGGACATCTGCTGGGAAATCACAGAAAGGACTGGTAGATCCTTACCCAACCTTTCAAAGAAGGAAAACCACTCGTTTTCTAAAAATTGGAACTCCTTTCTATCAGGACAATCAACTTCAGGTCAAAGTCTACTGGAAGAAGACGGGTTTGTCAAATTTTTTGGTTTTGTTTTTTCTAAGGAAGCCTCTTATCGTCTGTCTCAGAGTTGTAGAACATTAATGCAATACTATACAGTAATTCAGAGTTAAATCCTATGCCCATTCCTCCATCTCTTCACCTTCACACTGGAATGTTGTGTTGTGTTATGTCTGTGTAAATGTCTCACAGAAGGAAATGACATGAATCGGTTATCCAAAAATTACAGTCAGTCATGTTGGGATGCTGAATCTTCACATAGCTGAGACAATTTTTATTTCTGTAGGAATTACATCTGTGAACTTTTAAATAGGCCAGAGCCACAAAAGCTCTGAGGAACATCTGAATGTTGTCCCTCTACAGCATGGTTGGAAGACCTCGAGCACATACAGTTCCAGGGCGGATTTTCTGCTGATGCCACTGCAGTGTCACTTGTTGGACTTTGTCTTTTGAGAAATGAGTCAGGAAAGTAATGCATATGGAAATCATGCAGTGGTGTCACAGAAACTAAAAAGTAGTTTGAATCACAAAATTTAGGGCTATACTAGCTCACTGAAGGGTCACAATAGGCTTTATGCCAAACTTTATAGTTGGTCACAACCACTGAAAAAGTCTTGAAGTTGGTTTTCTGCTAGGCTGCATCCCTCTGGTTTTCAGAAAATCTAACAACAATTTTATGGTTTAATCGCCCAGTTTGAAGGAAAATGCCATAAATTTAAAGTGTTTTATCAGATTAAAAAATCAAAAAAGGGATTTTCCTTTCTTGTCCTCTAGGAGCATGTAGGTTGTTACAAATTGCTCCAGCTTAGCCATTACATGTTCATATGCTGTTATTTCAAAACATACTAACACTGTTAGTGTTTACTTGGAGCAATCTACATGTGTACCACTAAATAAAATCCATTCAATTTTTGTATTTGAAATAAAGGGCTACAAAGTGGATAATCACCTTTTTTTCTGGAATTTTTCAAAGAATTTCAGAAATATTTAAGTGCTTTTGTGTTTAGGTGTATGCAGCACCACCTTGAATGAGGACAGGCTATATAAATGTTCACTTATGCTATGTAACATAGAATATGTCACACAGAATTGTGCAGATTATGAGAGATATTCTTTGCTTTTTAAAAAGTGCCTGCCTGTTTGAATGGTGGCCTTCTCCTATGTCAATTACTTTCAAATCCGTCCTTATTCCTCCATAAAAATCTGCAGGCTTTGATTCAGCCTGACTACATACACATTTTAAATGTTTGTCCCTGTCTTGGCTGTGCTAGTTTTGTTTTTCTAGCTTTCCCCATTATATTTCAGTTTTGAGCAGCTTCATAGGAAGCTGGAGTAATTTAGAGTTTAAATAAAAAAGTTAGCTATTTTTAAATGGGGAATGTTGTTTACCTAAAAATGTGATTTTCGTTACCCAAAGCGAGATTTATATATTCTGAGCTTGGTTGAGACTGATCACCTTGAACTTTGGCCATTTGCAACTGCTATGTCAACTCATTGGCCAAGCTCCTTTTTTTATAGTCAGAAAAGAAAAGCAGGTGATTTCTGAAGCAATTCATCCCCCTCAGCAGCAGAATTATTCTCTGGAGATACCTCTCTTCTTTACTGAGAACAGAAGGGAACCTAGACAGCTCATTTATAGAAAGCTTAGAGATGCCTAATGTCTCTCTGTGAGCTGAAGTTCAGTTCTTGTCAGTCTGTACTGAAAAAACCGAGGGAAGGATTCAAAGATGAGGAGACTGTGATGTCTCCCACAGGCATCAGGCAGGGCTGTGCAACTCACAGTCTGCAGGCAAGAGTCAGCCCAGTGGAACAATCGATCCAGCTGCAGCTGTTTTCCTACCAGCCTGTTGCCAGAAGAAAGACCATGTGTCCTATGACCAAAATGCCAGCACCCCTATTGAAATGCACCTTATTAATAGTTTTCCAAAGTTAGTTGTACTTAAGGAAGAAAAAATCGTGACCGGTACAGCAATATTCTTGTTCCAAAGTAGATACTTTGAACTGAGTGTCCACTAATTATCATGGTAACAGAGATATCAAGCTTAGAGACATTGCACTGTAGATACTTAAATGTTTCCATCTGCATCTGGAGCTGAATCTCACCCTCTACTACATACTTGGAGATAATATTTGTATTAAATGCTATAGATGACTATAAGAAGAAATAGGTAGTCAGCATCCTTATAGTGACTCATAGTTTCGAAATAGGAGTGTTTGGAAGTGCTATAATCTCCATAATAGGAAAATATCACAGACCTGTCAAAAATGACGTTGATTTACATGCTGTGACCTTGTGCCAGGAATGGACTAGCTGAGTTGCCAAGAAGCTGACTGTACAGCTGACTCATCTTGTGTGAACATGTATGCATCCAGTTACATAAGGGAGCACTCAGAGGTCCGTTTTGGTCATGAGCTGGGGGCAAGCAATGTCATGAGCTATGACAGGCACTGGAGTGTTTAAGTACATGCCCCAGTCATGCAGTGGAAGATGCCTTCATTTTTCTCCCAGAATAAACAGTGATAGCAAAGGTCTGTGAAGAGGGGCAGAATATGGCAGTTCATCAGACTTTTTTATTTTCTTTTTTAAAAAGAAAATATCCGTGTTCTGAGTGACAGCATATGCAGTAACTCAGCAGGAGCCATTGCCTCATGTGGAACTGAAATATAGCCAGTTACTTGCTCCTGAGAAGCCAGTAACTTCTATAAGCCCTTGCAGGAGTTTGGAGATTATGTAGTGCATGGATGAGGTACTGACTGTAAATTTACTAGTGACAATTTACTGCAGAGAAAGTCTGTTTCACCACGCAAGGAACATAGCAGGAGAAGCATATTGACTGTGTCCTGTATTTATGAAAGACAGCAGTTACTGGAGCCAGCTGTGTTGGGAACTGTACCCATGCATCTTTCTCCATTATGAACTGCACCATCTTAAGTTGTGTTTAGTGAGTTGCAGCAACTACAATAGGAAATACTGACAGGGAACTTACCTGAGCCTGCTCTATGGCATGACATATATTTATATTGCAGGTAGGCAACCAGAGTTCGAATCCTTCCTCAAAGGAATTGACCTCTTTGTCTCCTACATGGTGGGTGAACACAGGAGTCCCTGTTGATTGCAATAATGTTCTCATTTTCTTGTGAAAAATCAACACTTTTTTTGGATGGAGAAACACAGCCATTCTATAGTCCTATATTAGAATGTGTAACGTTAAAACATAAAATTTAAGAAACTATCATAAAACCATGTGAAATAAGTAGATTGAGAAGCATAAGAGTTTCCACGATTAAAAAAATAATTGAAGAAATAAAAGTCTCAAGCTTAAACATGTTGAACATTTGTAAATTGATCAAATTTCAGTTGGTTGTAGCAATATTTGCTTTGTCTCATTTGGCTTTCAAGTTTTTTTGTACTCTCTGCAGTGTGCATCATGATCCTAACAAGAGATGGTTGCAGAGATAATGAAATAAAAACATTATTTAGATTTTGAATTTTTTTTTTTGAGATGAAGATATTTAAACCACTATGTTGTCACAGAATCACAAAATGGTTGGGGTTGAAAGGGACCTTGGAAGATTTAGTCCAACCTCCCTGCAAAATCAGGTTCACCCAGAGCAGATTGCACAGAATTACGTCCAGGCAGGTTTTGAATATCTCCGGAGAAGGAGACTCCACAACCTCTTTGGGCAGCCTATTCCAGTGCTCTGTCACCCTCAAAGTAAAGAATTTTTTCCTCATATTTATATGGAATTTTCCCTGTTTCAGCATGTGCTCATTGCCTCTTGTCCTGTCATCGGGCACCACCAAAAAAACTCTGGCCCCATACTCTTGACGCCTGCCCTCAAGATATTTGTATGCACTGATAAGATGCCCTCTAGGCTAAACAGGCCCAGCTCCCTCAGGATTATTCTAAAAGAATAATCTTTTAGATTATTCTTATTGATTCTGTTGTTAGCTGAAAAATCATTTTGCTTTTGAATTTTAATCATTTTACTCAGTCTGAAGAGCTGAGGTCAGAATCATAAAATAATTTAAATAGGTTAGAAGGGACCTCTGGATGTCAGCTGGCCCAACCCCCTGCTCAAAGTAGAACTAACTCTGAAGATAAATCAAGTTATTCAGTTCTGTCTGTAAGGCCCTATTACAGATGTTGTCATTGTTTCCTCAATGACAGGGAATTTATCCTTCATGAATACCAGCCTACACAGGCCATCTAAGTTTATTGCAATGTGCCTTAGGATTTACAGAAGGTATGGTGATGTCTGTTGACATTTAAAGGTAGTTCTTCTATCGCTATGAAGACATATCCCTCAGTGAAATTTGCATATGTGCCTCTCTAAAGCCAGTGAAAAGAACACAATGATGACATCAGGGCTGAAAGTCTTGGTTTTGTACCATCCTTCTGAATAGAATTCATCAGACCTCTGTTCTGTGCAACAACTGCAACAGAGGGTGTGTTGCAAACTATGACCAAACTGATTTCATTATACAGTAAAGGAGTGTTTGCATGTGAGTACTCAGAAACTCATTCAATACTCAGAAGTTTTTGAGTAAAAGTCTTAGTAAGTGGATGGATTTCCATATATATGCATCATAATGTGCCACAATTTGTTAAGCAGGAAAGACTTACCTAGGCCTGTTCTTTAAGTGTCATTTCTTAAGTCCCATTACTTCAGTAAGCGAAAGGCATGAATAAAAATGTAGGATCTGGACTTTACATTAAAATAGGTCTCTTTCTGAAATAATAGTTCAGTTTGAATGCTTCAGTATGATGGCAATAATAACTTCACTCCAGGATGTATGCTAGCAAAAATATCTCCACACTTCAGGCAGTACAAGGTACTTAGCAAATGCACATAATTTTGCTAGAGTCATCAAAAAGCATATTGCATAAGAATACAATAGATTCTTTCAGAAGAAAGAAAATGTGTTTCACTTGCTGCCTTGTTTTAGGCTTGGGATTAGAGAAACATAGTACATTCCTTAAGCAGCATGAATCCCACCTTTGTAAA